CCCTCTGTCACCTCAGATAATTCAGGATAACGTCCCCATGTCAAGATCTTTAACTTGCTCACTTCTGCAAAGTCCCTCTTCCATCAAAGGTAACATTCAAGGTTCCAGGGCCTTTATTCTGCCTCTGGCACAGGGATCTTCACAGTGCTGGGAGCCTGGACTGATGACCCCTGAGCACTGGCTTCTCTCTGATCCGAAAGGAATCTTCCAGCATTGCATGCACATTTCAGACTTTCCGAGGTAGGAAGGTAGAAATGAAGGGTGTACTAGAAGTCACAGCTACCCCTGGTCTTTGGTCACTCAGCCAGAACTCAGCACACCCTCAGCTACAAAAGACATAGGGAAACTTAGTGTGTGTCTGAGTAGCTGTGTGCCCAGGAAAACTAAGGTGATCTGGTACACCAGGACAGAGCGGGGAGAGATGCTGGGAGGTGGAGGTTTTGCCGTAAAGCTCTGCAGAATTCAAATACTACTTAACAGAGGATTGTCTATTGCCACGAATGGACAGAGTGGAGGAGGGTGGGATATGGGTAATGGAACAAAAACCAGGAAAAGAAAAGGACTGGTAAAGCCAGACTGGCCTCTGAGCTCATCCACTCCCTCCTCTTCTCTGTGGAGCTGGCACCCAGATAGCTTTCTTTTTCTTTGGCACTTTTCCATGATAACCTGCCTTTCTACTCCTCTCTGTCTGACTTAACCATCTCGTCAGTCAAAGCCAATACTTGCATCCCACCTTCCTATCTAGAAACAGAACAGCTGTCCCCCCATGTCACTCTTTGCCTTTTTACCCATGACACATGGAGTGCCTTCTGTCTACCCTGCCCTTCTCCACAGGGGTCTCCCATCCCTGCAGTCATTTGCCACTGGCAGGTGAGTTCGAGAGAAGGAGCCCTTGTAACTGACAGGTCCTGCCTCCGAAGGAAGAAAAGACACTGGCTGATAATGGGTTGAGAGGAACAGGGATTGACCCAGGTGGAGGCCTGGGTCACCTCAAGAGGGCCAGTTGGCCTCAAGAGGGCCCGTTCCAGCCTCTGTGCCCTCCTGCTGCTGCTAACCGAGACTCAGAGCTTGGGACTGGAAGAGCACATGTGTGATTCGTTAAAGGAGAACGGTGCTGAGCAGTGTGCAAAGGCTTTCCTGTTGGGGCCGACATCATGCTAGAACTGGCTGAATCCCCCCCAGACACCTGTGTCCTGTTTCCCCCAGGGCCGGAGACCTGTTACCTTGATTGGCTTCAGCCTGGGAGCCAGAGTCATCTACTTCTGTCTGCAAGAGATGTCTCAGGAGAAAGGTAAGTCAGGCTCATTGTCCCACAGATACCTCTGGGAGTGTGTCACACCCCATTGTCATCCTCTGTGTACATCACTTACATGCTACCCTCAGATCTGTAATGTGAGCCAAGCCTTCATTTGTCCTGCTGTGCAAATTGAATTAATTACCCCTCCCCATTTGGCTGTGGTCAGCGGAAGTGAGGTTGCCTGGCAGCTGCCTCTGCAAAGTGAGGCTGGAAGCTGGCGAGAGTGGAGAGGAGGGAGGCAGGTGGCCTCTCTGTGGCAGGGCATAACGCTGAGATGCACCTGCACACGCCTTTGGGGAATGGCTCCCATACCAGTTTGCTACCAGCATCTTTCCTGGTCACCGTTCTCACTCACAAATCTTCCTGGCTTATGGGTAAGAACTTTAGGCAGACCTAGATTTGGCTCCCAGCTTTGCTGTGAGTCCTTGGACCAGCCACTGAGCCTCAGTCTCTTCACTGAATTTACAGGTGAAGGGATTTTGTACTTTTACCTCAAAGGATCATGGGGGGATTACAATGAAATAATGAATGTGGAAGTAGCCAGCCTGATCTAGGTGACTCGGTGAGCACTTGTTTATCTCTGAACTCTACCCTAAGAACCATGGGAGTGTTGCATAGTTAGAGGAGCTTGTCAGCCATGTCTTGAGCTTTAAAAGGCTGTGTCCCCTTTCCAGCCTCCACTGTGGACTGTGAACTCCAGCTAGGCAGGATCTGGCTCAGGCCCCACTATCACCCTGGTGCCCCAACATTGTGCCCAGCATATCTGAGTGCTCAGGAAGACAAAGGAGATAACTTCGGGTAAGGGAACAGAGCTGTGCCAGGCATCCACGAGCTGGTGCAGATGCACCTGGCATCAGCCATGCTGTGAGCACGTGGGCATAATAACTCATGGCATCCCTGCAGCAGTCCTAGGAGGTGAATGTGGTTGTTCTTCCTGCCTCACAGATGAGAAACTGAGGCTGAGGTTTAGCCATGAGGCTACTGAGTGCCAGAGTAAGGACCTGACCCCAGGAGCCTGGGTCTGGAGCCTTCCCCCCCAACAACCATGATGCTGTACTGGGAAGACCAGGGCTCATCCAGGGGTCACTGGCATGGCAAAGGTAGGGTCCTCAGGTCCATCAGGAAAGGGTGAAGCTGGTATTTCCCCAGCCTAGGAAAAGGGCCTGAGGTGGACTGGTAAGGAGATGCTGACGAGTTGCTACGGGATTCTGATCCAATGTCAGACTAATGAGTTGGAACCAATTAGTTGGACACTCGGGAAGGCCAAGGTCTCTGAACGGTGGCATGAAGAAGTGGCTGAGTGGAGTTGCTGGAGGGGGTCGGCACAGGGCAACCTGTAACCCACTTATGTGCGTTAGCACACACACATGCACACACACACACATGCACACACAGCGAGTCAGCAGACCCCAGGGCCTCTAGCACCCTGCTGTTCTCTAGATAAGTGCAACCTTCTCAGCATGATAGACGAGGCCTCACTCATGGTCTCCTTTCCAGCATCTTCCAAGGCCCTGCTCCCCACCTCCCCCACAGGGCTCCAGCTCCACGGGGCCATTTGCAGCCAGCCAGTGTTCTCTCTCTTGTTGCTCCCCACCCCCATTTCTCAAAATGTCTCCTCACATTTCAGATCTCCCTTTGGCTGGAAGTTGTAGCTGTAATCCCAGCCTCAAACTCTCCTAGAACATTTACAGACTGTGTTTTCACACACCCAGCCCAGTCCTGAGCTGGTTATATAGCCTCTCAAGTAATCCTGCCAACAGCTCTGTGAGGAAGATGCTATGAGGTGTGCCCACTTCACAGATGAATAAAACTAAAGCACAGAGCTGAGGTAACTGGTCCACATCACAGCCAGTTCCAAGCAGACAGTAGTCTGACTAGAGGGTGTGTGTTCACCCCGATGCTGGACCATGTCGTTCCTAGAACTGTCTGCCTCCCTCTTACTCCTGCTTGTCTGCTCATCTGTCCTTCGGGTCTATGAGTAATTGTGACATAGAGGTGCACATCAAAAATGCTTGGGCAGTTCTTTTCTCAAAATGTATATGCCAGGACCCTAAACAGAAGGGCTCAGCCACTCCTGTTTTGGAAATAGCTCCCCTGAGCAATTTTGGCAAGCAGCCTGGCCAGGAACCACTAAATAGACAAAGTGAGGTGGGCAGGGTCCTGCTTCTCTTTCTCACCACTGTATCCCGAGCCTGTCACAGTGCCTAGCTCGTCCTAGGTACTCAGTGAACCAGGGCCTCCTGAGTCACCTAAAGGAATGCCTTCCACAACGAACTAGGGGCCCTGGTCAGCACATGAGTCCCCCCACTAGTCTGAAGCCCCTGCAGGGACCAAGTACATTGTATTAACTGTGACCAGCACAGGTCACAGATCAGCTTAAATATTTGAGGGAGAGTTCTCTTTACATGGGCACCACAGGTCATCAACATTTTATTTAGAAAACTTCTATACTTTAAAAGAAGAAGCAAAAGGAGCTCAGATCAGAGGCTTTCCAAATAACAGGAATTCAATAGGGATCTGCCTCCAAAGTGAAGGTACCCTGTGGCCAAAAGTGCAGCTGTCCCCACCCTCCTGTGGTCACCTTCAGAAGGAAGAAGTCGCCTGATCGATTCCCCTTACTTAAACTCCCAGCACCCTGTGGCTTCTCAGGAGGAGAGGGGGCTCTTTGGTCCTTTGCCTTGACCTTTGCTGAAAGCTCTCCAGGAGGTTGTCCCTTAACTGATATTGACTTGCTCCAATATGAGCAGGGCTCCTCCTGCACAAATGAGCCCTGACTGCATTCCTTACAGGAGATCGCTCTATGCTATACCCAGAGCCATTTACATCCCCACTTTGCCTTTTTCCTTCCAGAGAGGGAGTCAGGGAACTTATGCCGGCTGGTAGAAATGGGCAATTGAAGCCAAACACCACCCACCAGCAGAGGGGAAGTGAGGAACTGAATACCTAGAGCCCAGCCTGTGTGTCCACTGACCTCCCCAGCAGTCCTGTGGGCAGCTGGGGCCGAGGAAGCTGTGAAGGCTTAGAGCAGAGCTTTCTCATCTCACTGCTTTAATCCAAGCAGAACAAATAAAACCACAAAGGTCCACACACTCACGAAATACACTCACACACCTGGGGCCTGCCCACCCAGGCAATGGCAGGACAGCACACGGTGCAGGTGTCCTGGGTCACATGGCTCTTCCCCACCAAGAAGAGTCCAGCTAGTTGTTGCAAGTCTGTGGGCTCTGGAGTTTGGGTGTCTAGTTTAAATCCCATTCCTACCCCTGTACCAGTCCTCTAACCTCTCTGAGCTTGTTAGCTGACTTGTATGAAACACAGTAAATGACACATTAACTGTGTCAAGGTTATGGTGAGGATTTCATTATATGCAGTCCTGTTTATCAGCTTTTCTGACTGTGACAATGAACCTCAGATAATCAGCTTCTAAGGACAAAGCTTATTTTGGCTCAGTTGGGAGGTTTCAGTCATAGTGAGTTGACCAGTTGCTTTTGGGCCTGTGGCAAGGAGAATTATGGCAGGAACTTGTGGCATAGGAAGTTGCTCAATTCATTGTGGCCAAGAAGCAAAGAAAGAGGAAGTGCTTGGGGTCCCAATGTCACCTTCAAGGGCACGCCCCCAGTGACCTAACTTCATCCCATTAGGCCCAACTTCCTAAAGGTCCCACCATCTCCCAATAGTCCATAGTCTGGCAACGAAGCTTTCAGCACCCGGACCTCTGGGACACACTGTCCAAACCATAACATGGAAATGCGAGGCAGTGACAGCCCAGTAAGACTCGCTGAGCATTTAATCTGCTGGAACTGTCCAGAGCTTGACAAATGGGAGCTGGCACATGAATGGCATAGACTGTAAACATTGTTGAAGGAAACCTGGTCTCCCACAGAGGGGCCCTCATCCTTTTTGTCACCACACCCACTGCTCCCTTCTCCTCCACATTCCTCTTCCCAACCCCTTGCCTGTGTGACGGGTAGGGCATCCTCTAGGCCCCAGCTGGCCTTGATCTCAAATGGACTCGTTGCCCTTTCCGAGGAGGCAGCTGTTTCACATCTAATTCATTCCAGCTCTGCTGGCTGGCTTTCAGCAGCTTGGTTATTTAACACCCTGTTAACCTGCACACAGAGGAGACCCTCTCCGAATCGCAGGAAGGCTGTCATTATCTGAGTTAGGGATGGAAGAGAGGAGTACTCTGATGCATTGGAATCTGCTAATTGTTTTCTGAAGCCCCTTGAGAGCCAGTAATGCAATGTCGCCCAGGGCCAGCAGTCCTCCATTCAGCTCCCCCTACCCCACCCTCTCAACAGAGGCTCATCCTTCCTTCCGTCCATCCGAGACGAACTGCCTGTACAGTTAACTGTCTTCATGCTTCACTCCCCTTTTAGGGTGATGCTTCAGACCTTGGGGGCTGCTGCTCTGGGGCTCTGCTACCATTCACTGAACTGCCTCGCAGCCTGGGCTGCACTTTGCTCAGGCTCAGCATGGTCTTCTTCCTTTCAGATAGGTGTCACCTACAAGCCACTTGATATCCATGCCTCCCTGTATCTGGGATAAAGCCAACAGAGTGTGTGCTCTGTGAGTGAATTAAACTTGAAGTTCACCATTGTAGGTCTTCACAGTGTATCTATCAGTTAGAATAGGATAGGTTATGCTGCAGTGACATACACCCCCAACTCTTTTTTTTTTTTATTCATATGTGCATACAAGGCTTGGGTCATTTCTCCCACTATTTTGCCCTTATTTCTAATTTTGTTGTAGAGAGAGTATAAGCAATAATAGGAAGGAACAAGGGTTTTTGCTGGTTGAGATAAGGATAGCATCTTTTTTATTCATATGTGCATACAAGGCTTGGGTCATTTCTCCCCACCTGCCCCCACCCCTCCCTTACCACCCACTCCACCCCCTCCTCTTCCCACACCCCTCAATACCCAGCAGAAACATATTTTGCCCTTATTTCTAATTTTGTTGTAGAGAGAGTATAAGCAAAATAGGAAGGAACA